AGGCAATTCGAAGAATTTTAAACACAGCTAACATAAGAGTAGCTTTCCAAAGGGGGAACACTCTGCGCTCTGCACTGGTGCAAATAAAGGATCGCCTCCCGGCAAACAGGACTAGGGACTGTGTCTACAAAATAAAGTGTAACGACTGCACAAACGTCTAAATAGGACAGACGGCCAGGGAACTACACATCAGAGTCAGAGAGCATAGTAGAAAAATAAACAGGCCGCCGAGAAACGCAGATGAATATCAAGCGTTACTGAGAGACTCGGCAACCGCGGAACACGCACTGGACATGGGGCACAAAATAAACTTAGAAAATGTCGAGGTTTTGAGGCGGGGACTACGTCCACCTCAGCAGAGACTGATGGCTGAGGCGGTAGAAATCGCCAAGCATCCCAGTGTTAAAATAATAGAAGGCGTGGAAAAGGCGAGCGTGCAGAGAACTGTTCTATGTCACTCGAGCTAACACGTATTGGTGTGCGATCATCAGTGGGGAGAGTGGTCATCATCTGAACTCCACTTAACCTTACGCACCTCCCCCCCAACTAAATTGTCGTAACACTCACGTCCCCCGGTGATCAATGATCTACCAGTGGCACCCGGGGTGAATCATCAAGTGAAGCACCCTGAAGTGGAAGATGAAGGAACGAAAAGCGATCGAAAGTAATTTGAAACTCCCCCAACCGACTAATTCAAGAATTTGACACCCACGCTAGCCGACAAGAGCTGTTAATTGACAATCAACACTGATCTAGTGTGCAGAGGACTTACTGATTGGTTCCCCGTCTGTCTTATAACCTGGCCAATTTGGTGACCTGTTCACTTGTCCTGATGAAGCTTTTGTGTCATAAGCGAAACGTTGCCCAAATAAAAACTACCGATTCTTTATCAAGCTCTTCTGAAACGAGATTTTGGAATTTTTCAAGAGCATGCATCCTGTAGGTGATATCAATCTAAGACGAAGCGTAAATACCTAGGGCTATTCGGTATAGACTAACTTACAGCACAGGTTAACCATTTGTGAAGAGCTGGCAAATAGTATAATGTTGTGGAGAGAGGGGCCGGGAAGTAGCACCACGAAAGACGTTCAAGCGCGTCAGCCTTTCCGTACACTTATTATGATAGGTGCCTGCGTGCGAAAAGAAATCTGATATAACAGCAGATACCTACGTATCCCTCAGAACTATAGAAATGATACGTAGGTCTCTGTATCCGTGTCACTCGCATTTAATGCTCTCCTGTCGTGACTAAGCAGAATGGTCTTATCTAGGATAGTTTAAATGGAAGGTGGAAACAATATCAAAATGTGAAAGACCGGTAATATCACGATCATACGAGCTGTTTTCTGGGCGTGCGTTCATTGCTACTGGACAATTCCGAGAGTGGGCACATTGGTTTAGATAACTTGGCCATTTGTGCACTCCGTCGCCCAACGTGAAGTAACTAGCAATATTTGGTTAGTACCACTCTTTAGTATTGGCGCTTCTTAGTCAAGAAACCATACAGGATGTGAAAACAATAAAAATTGATGGTCTGACGTCGAAATCTTAGAACACTAAAGTCAGGGAGCTTATGCGGTGGAATACTGGCAGACTTTGGCAACAATTAGTTTCAACGAAACAAGAATTCAAGCTATTTCCTTCGTCGTAGTCACGCTTCGCTCCACAATCGGCGCAACCATAAGGTCCGTTAGGTGAACCTTCGAAACACTCACTCATCAAACTTCTAGGGTTACTTCAAACTCGGCGACTGGTATTCGTTAAAACTTCCGATAGCCTGTAGCAAAAGTACTCAATATACGAAGGAAATTATGACAAGCAATTTACCTGCCAGAGTGTGCAAACAGTGACCTGTCTGTAGATCCCAGATGCGCAGGGTCTCATCAGCATTGCTGGATACCAAAACCCGAGAGTACGTGTCGTGCGCCATTCCGCTTGTCAACGAACGGTGTCCACGGAAGGTGTGTCTCAGTTCACCGGTAGAGGCGCTCCAAACACGAATCGTTGTGTCCAGACTTGCGGTGATCACATGCACACCATCAAACACGAGTGTGTAGACTCGATTTTCGTGGCCAATCAGTACGTTTAGACAAGTACCGGTTACTATGCTCCATATGCGTACAGTGCAGTCGTAGCTTCCGGAAACGACTTTCCATTCGTTGAACTGAACACATCTTATGGCACCACGGTGGCCTGTGACAAATGAATAAGGATATTTACGTTCTCGATCGTAAGGTAAGGTAGAGCAATATACAGGAACAAGGGGGAACATATGTTAATGTTATCCACGTAAACAAACCCTAGTTCCGGTGACCCTATTTTCACTGGGTGGAGGTTTAGTTGCCACATAACCACGGTAGGGTGGCAATGACACTATAACAAACTCGGGTTCTATTTTGCGGCTGATGAATTTGACCTTTACGAAGAATCGATGCGCATTTTTGTTGAGAATGCAAAAATGGTACACAAAGTATTTTGGACGACAGTTTGAACACCGGCTATGTACCTCCAGAAACGATACAGCGCCAGCCTTCTTTTATCGATATACTTCAACTCACGTGACACCGTTGACCCCGAAAATGACAGCTACTTATCGCAGAGCTCATTTACTTGTGCTTTCCTTGGGGAAAAGATTGGTCGTATCTGGTTAGTTGAATGGTGAGTGATCTTCTGTCCTGAGTACAGGTTACACTCAGGATTACTCTGCTGCATGCAACCGGACTGTTCGTCGAATTCGTTTAGAAATGTTACGGATCACTTCCAATATCCGGAAGATTCGCACTAAAACGGTGGAGAGAGATTATGGCTTCTCAACATAGGTTGATTTCACTTATGGGATAGGATTTACTTAGCCTGGTAACCAGCTCGGTTTGAGCTAAAAGGCAGTTGGTAATTGTGTTCTGTGCATTAGAAAAGAAGCAGAAAAGTAAGGTTCACCGTTCCTTTAGTGTGAATTAACTGAACAAGGTGGAGATCGACCAAGCTGTCCACAATCCTTACCTAAACCAGTTTCAGCACGTGTTTTTCAAAAGAAAGACAATGCCAACCTAGCCTGGTCGGGAAGGGACAGACCATTGTCATCATCAGCTGTAAAAAACGCGTACTTATCATACAGTGGTTATAGCTGCCACAGTTACATTCAGCGACGACTTGGAGAGATAGAGTGGGTAGCCGCGCATTGGAGGAGGCAGCTGATAAAATTGACGCGTATTACAGGTTTCTCAGTGGGACCTGACCACCTCAACTTGTGGTACCGACTATATTCTTCGATTAAAGTCCCCCACGCACAACCAAACACTTGTTTTCTAATTGCCACGTTGCGGATTGGCCGATACCGGCCTACATGAGCTGTGGCTCTCAGACAACGGTTGTAGAAGACCTGAAGACGTCTGGTCTGCTGATCGCAGAGGCTGTTTCACACACACGTACCTTGAAGTGCAGGGATATACCAATTAGTCGGCATATGTATCTCAAATTAGTGACAGCAGACTCCGAGATCCGTAAATTGACCTCATCCACTACAGTTCGCAGAGGCTGTTTCACACACACGTACCTTGAAGTGCAGGGATATACCAATTAGTCGGCATATGTATCTCAAATTAGTGACAGCAGACTCCGAGATCCGTAAATTGACCTCATCTAGCACACTACAGTTGAAACCAACACAGCCTCCAAGATACGTATAACACTCCACAATTTCAAGCACCCCTCCTTGGATTGCGAGTGACTTATTCATTGACTGCATGTCAAGGAGCGTGATATTACACTTGGAGGGTGCGAAGCGCACGTCGAAGGATAGGAGGACTTGAGTCAACGCATCCAAAGACACCTATGGTTTTTTTCCTCTTCGATGACGAAAACGACGTCTGCACATTCTACATCGACAGGATTTTCCCCAGCAAACTGTCGACCACCAGCGTTTCAGGACCTTCCAAGGTCCGTCTCATTATCCTGTCGACCACGAACTCGAATAAGAATAAAATGGGCATACAGACTTTAATATTCGTACTATCTATCAAGTTAGTTATCCGGCATCCGTCGCTGAAACCTTGTTCTCCCACTTTGTTGACTGTCTTGTGTTTCCGAAACACTCATAGAGGATTCACTTCGCTATGCAACTTAAGCTTCCACATATTCCTCGAGTTTCTCGTAGGCTAACGCAATGGTTCGAGGTATCTATGCTGTGGTAATAGCACTCCGCCCCAAGGCTAAAAGTGCTTTACTGGACTGGATCCAGTAAACAGCCGTCTATGCGCTGTAAGGTTGTCTGGTTCAGTTAAAAGATCGATTAACTAGACACCGTTTCTGTGTCGTATCGGCAGCCGTCCTGAAAGACCGCAGGTTCTGAGTCCGGAAAAAACAGGTTTTACGGAAATATGTCGCAACGGCTTCGGTCAGCAAGAACGGATATAATCATCCTGGTTGGTGAAATGAACGCCCAAGTTGAACAACTAAGCGACCAACGTCATCACACACAAAGACATCAGCGCTGACAGTGATGTTTCACTGATGCCCCACGGTCGTAAAACCACAAGTTTTTACTAAATTACACTGGGTGAGTTATTTGTTCCGAAAACCATTCGATGTGCTTTAGCATTACTGATTCAGTGTTCCCGCCAGATGCGGGCAACGCTCCGGAGACATAGATGGCTAAACACCGAAAGTCTTTTACCATCTCAAGCGCGCAGCGGTCAGGTTTCTGACAAGTAAAACAAGGGGAAGGACAGAAGCATTAAATATGTGGACAGGAACGGTTGGACACCTTGACCTCTGATTTATTTCCCGCTCACCGAGAATCCCGCTGCCCTTCTCTATGCATAAAGAAAACACAACACAGTGGTCTATTTACAGCGACGCTGAGCTGAAGACCGGGATCGCTTCTTTGCGAGCACTCTGTACTTACCCGAATCATTGGTCCACATCCTTCTCACGGTTCGTGCCCACAGGATATTGAAAATTTTTCGGTTATGCAAAGAGTTTGATCAAAATAGCTACTAAAACAGCAGCCTTCAATCTGATCGAAAAGGGAATAACCGCAGAGGGCGACATTCAATTAAGTGGTCGCTACGCTTCTCCACGCTCCCTAATAACGTACTGATAATGTCACCTCGATTGTGCCATTAAGATTAATAATAATAACAATAACTGTCAAGTAAAAAAACCATCAAGCGGATAGAGAACGCGAAAAGAGGGCGAAAATTGACAACTATCAGCAGAATTCTGGTTTCAAAAGATACCTTCAAACAGTCGCAGACAACGACCCGAGAGGGCATTCCATAAACGGACGGTTGTGTCTCTGCTGCCAGTGGCCACAAGTCGTAATCTGCCTGATTCTGCATCGACCACAGTTGATTGTTCCGTTGTGGAAGGCAAACCAGTCGCCTGATTGTCAATGTCGATTGTATGGACTTCAGAGTTCTGGTCGAAACAGCTCCACTCTTTTTGCCCATGAGTGAAGCAACTGCTTACTGCCCGCTGACCCGCTAGACAACGTACAGTAGACTGATGTCCAAAGAGTGTGGCTATGCAAGGCCATCGAAGACCATCAAGCAGCCAAACACGAGCTGTTCGATCACAGCTTCCGGATACCAGGAGTGGTCGTTGCTCATGTCCACCACTATTCGGTGCAAGAACCGTGAGGGACCAGACGCCACCAATATGTCCGAACAAGTTGATCAATAGCGACCCGCGAGTAATGCTCCAAATGCATATGCTTGAATCGTCAGAACCGGTGATTGCCCAGTCATTGTATACCTCTAAGCAAGTGATGACATGATTCTGGAGGGGGGTAAAAAAGTTTCCTTTTGAGGTCACTAATTTTAAGTAAGAAACAAAGCAATCCAGTTGAAGGCATCGAAGCTAAATTCCGTTCAAATCCATTAGGGATAAGCGATTTTTGAGTTCACTTAATGGGATGAATCGAATATAGACTTCAGCTGTCTAATGATCACAAGTGCTTTCGGAATCCAACAGCGCTGCGAAGTTGGAGCCTGGACAGCAGTGTGGAGCGCATAAAAGTCAATAACAGGCAGTAGGAGCCTAGCGCGATTCACTCACCATTTGCATATGTGCGTGTGGCACATACAGTTCGGGCGACTACGTGAGTCGCTTTGCCGCTTGTAATACTGTGGACCGCATTTAACATGGCTCACGGGGCAGTTGATAGATGAACTTCTATCGCACAACACACCCATGCTATGAATACAAGGCACTCTTGTATGCACAAACGGATAGAACCTGTAAACCGATTAGTACTCAGAAACAAAGCAGGCACGGGTAGCCATGCCCATAATAGTGCAATAAGCTAGTCGCTTGCACAAAAATCAGCAGAAATCCGATTCGCATGAACCGACAGATAAGATACCAAAATTCAAGGGTGTGCTAGGGTTGAATTAACATCACGTACGTGATGAGCTGAAAGCACAATGGGCTTTAAGTGGGTACCATGGCGCCAGTTACACTGGGACTCGACGTTTCGCCGGAAGACCATCTTCCAGTCGACCTAAGGTGGGGAAATGAAATGGCAAAAACAGTTTGGGATTGCATTTGCGCAAAATTTGTCGGAAAACATACTGCTCAAAATGAGCAGCCCAGCACATTGTTACTTATACACAATTCTTCGCGGGATCTTTAATGAATAATGAGGTGAAAATCACAGTGGCACATCGTCAGGCTATTTGGAGTCATCATTGTTGACAGTAACACTGGAAAACGCTAGTGCTTCACTGCCGCACCAAAATGTCAATTTATTTGAACAAAGTTTTATATTGGAAAGGAAATGTGTGACAGGGTGAGGACCCAGGACTAGCCTACTAAAATATCTGCGAGAAGCCTACGCTTATGCTACACTGTCGGACGACCCCGGCAGGAACTGAAGCCTGAACACTACTGACATCGCTTAGCTACTATACTGCGGTGTCTCCAGCGCATGATGGAGCCACGTGGATCCCATCCTTGAAGGCAAACAACATTAAAATTTCGTAACATCCTTCACTCAGTTTGGTCTACCTCTAGGTCTGCGGCACTCCGAATTACGTGTAGAAACCGAACGGGACTGCCTAGCTTCGGACACGTCCAAAGGTTGTGGACAGAGTAATGGCCCCTTGCCTCATACGGGTTAAGGTTACTTACGAATGAGTCGCCTGCGACTAAGGGACAGACGCGAACGCGACGGCACTGCCAGGTTACGGCCTGGCCGGTCGGTCCCCTACAAAACTTGATTAATCTCATTAACGGAGGTGTTTGAGGGGTAACCTTGACTATCTGGGCAGGTTCTTCAGCCGAAGGCTATAATTAGTCCTTCCAAGAAAGTCCCCTACTTTGATACGAGCAGCCAAATAGTGGTAGATCCTATGACAAACTACGAAAACAAACACTCATGTTACGCTCGACTTCCGTTCCTCTGCTTGTACAAACTCTATTTCTCCGCATGTACTCTCTTTGCTGATTTATCTGCGTTTTCTACCCAGACCACCCACACCCTTCTGACTGCACTTTTTCACCAGTCCATCCAAAAGCTATCATCACCGGCTATTAATACGAAATCAAGATCTAGCGCTTTTCTACGCTCAAGTTCGTGCCTAATTTGTTATACCGTTTCGTGAGCTGAGGCAATGGCTGAAAAGTTAGGTCAATATCAATGTTTGTTTTTAGGTTTTCCGTAGAGTACAACGGGTTCTTGGAAGAGCTAGCATTTGCACGCTATTCCCTTTGGACCTTCATCCGCAAAAACCAGTGCTAATTGATCGCGTTTCCTGCTTGCAAGCTAATATTGTGTATTCCGCTAGATAATCTCCGAATATGGCCAACATAGTGTTTCTCATGTCCGTTGTGTTGGATTTTCCGTGGATTGACAGCGATACTTTTAAACTTTTTCGTACTAAATGTCAACTGCTAACACATGCCACCATCCGACTTCCCGGCGATTTTAATGAGCATGACTCTGATTAGTTAGGTTTATCATCCCATCGTGAGAATGCACCCCATAGTGGTGTGACGGTTTCGGAACCTTAGTATGAGTTACGGACGTGTAGGATACAACGTATCACTACAAGGTGCATTCTCTGCCTCAGCATCCACTGACCCCATCCAATCGGTTAGTGGATAAGAATTCGATGAACAGTCTCCTGGCCCTCCTGGTTGGCAGTTGGAACAACTGCGAAAGTGTGGGCAACTCCAGTCGTCTTGGACAAACCACTACTGTCTTGCGGTCAGGTTTGTGAGCCGAAGTTGACTTGGAACCTTAATTGTACTCTCGTCTGAGTTTTGGCAGCTTAAATGAACCTCACCTCACATAAAACCATCAACTTCACAAATGAAAGTTCTTTCATGCCGCATCGACCGTCAGGTGGTGACGTCACTCGGGTCGCCCTATTTGCTGCACACAGCATGGCGGATAAACCAAAGTATGCAAGTACTGACACTTTCCATCCTTCTTCACTACCTCTTGGCTCTCCGCTTGATAGCCATTCTTATGGCCCCGCATCCCCACACACAGGGCAGTTACTCTCACTTAGATCTCAAAGGTAGATCGGTCAACAAACTGGAATTGCACGCACTCACCTACTTCACAGACTGACATCCGCTGAATCACTCAGGCTCGAGCGCAAGATAAACGTACAGGGTTTATAGCATCCTCTTTATTTCGACGACATCAAATATAAAGCTCCGGTGATGCTAAGATGCTGCAGAGTTGTGTCGGTGTTGGTGACACCCTACGCTTGCGGGCCGAGGTTTCATTACTCGGTTGTAAACGCAATACTCTGTGCTGTACATTTCCACAAAACATTGCACTCATCGAAATACTGACGTTTCTTTTTTTTTTTTTGGTGCCTTTTCTATCAGCTAGACGTTTTTTTTTTTTTGTCGCGTCCATTTATCGATCAGCTACAGCTGTAATTCATCGAAAAACACCTGTCGAGAAATGACCGCCCTCTTGGGCTCCAAAAGATCGGATAAAGACAAAATGGCAATAGAATTCAATGCACGGGTAGAACACCTTAGTTCATTACAGGCATGACCTGGTGGTACGTTAAGCTTAGACGCAAAACATAGTGATAATGAACGGCTTTTGCAACTTCATATTTATCACCAGCTGTTTCTTAGCCATACTAGGTCTATACGCAGTAAGCCTCGTTACGCCACCGGGCGCCCTCTGCTGCTGAACAATCTTGGAGTAGAACTGACGATATCACCGTAAGCTACCGATGCCACAGCTCAGTCCTTGACTGCCGGCCGTTTGGGAACACATACGTTGATTCAGATCAGGCACCCGTCCGTTTCATATGTCAAGAAGCAAAGCTTCACCACAATTTACAACTAGCAAGGTTGAAAACATGATTCTCATGGAGCAATGTATCAAATCCACTCCACCATACTTATTTTTGTACAGGTCCTGGGTAGCCTAGTGCTTCAAATCGCGGACTTCAACTCCGTCTTCTATGAATCGAGCCTGTGCATGGGTGTTTGAACTGGCTTTCGCCTCCGTTTTGGAAATTATGCACGCAGGTAATTTCACTAATAAAAAGGCTTTTCTTTAAATTTGGCTGCTTTAGTTGGTGCGTTAAAAATAAGAGTTTTCATCTGATTCTTTCGGTGGTTGTTTAAACACTCAGAGGATCACTGTGGCGAAGCTACGCAAGTCAATTCGCAGCTTCTAAAGTCTCACTTGTCGTAGCCGTGAAATCGAATACTCACGGAGATAACCATCATTTTCGCTCAGCCTGGCTCTTACAGTGCGACAGTGCGATTTGTACCGCCCCGTAGATCAGAAACGTGTACGAAAACTGCCTGTTTGACTATCAGTGTCTCCGGAGCATTGTTTCTGGTGGAAATTTCGATTTAGCCAGATGATTTTTAGAAAAAAATGTAATCTCCTGCGAAAAATGAGCTGCTCATGTTTCACAGATCACGCTGGTTGAGACGTACTTTTTGCATGCCAGAGGACCGTTTGCCTCCCATAGCTATTTTGTGCAGTCCTGTGCTGAATAGAAACGACCGGGAGATATACAGTGTATGAAGACAACAACCAGTAAACTAAGTCGGGTTGAAACCCCTGCCTCCCCTGATGGGGACCCCGGGACCCAACTTCAGCAGTTAATGATAGTGACAGACAGGGCTCATTTACGCGGCGACTGATTCTGCTGTATCAAAGTTATAGCTTTAATTGAGTAACAGCTCTTCCATTTGCCGATGACCGAAACTGTAGCAGCTTGAACCAAGGTACTCTTGGTATATGTTTTATGACTGATAGGCTGAAATGAACCTTAGAGTTACTCCAAATTCACTGTTTCCAAAAGTACAGCGATATTAGATGTTTTAGGGTTAGATAAAAGTTGTGCTTGAAAAAGTGTGGTCAAAATTTTGTCACCGAGTGTACTGACAGCATGGAATTGGCGTTTAAAGATAAGTGTCATAAAAAATAACCTAGTCGTATCGCTGTAAAAATATGATGACTTACACTTAGTATATCTGCTGAGGGAGAGTGCGAAACACCAAGTTCACTGCAGGACTTTCCCGAGGATTTACTTGATGTCGAGTACGATGGAGAAAATGAATTCTGCACTTTTTCGTGTGGATGCGGAAGCTTATCCATCTCCATTGTACGTATTGCGTCCGAAACAAGACCGCTATTCTGACATAAGCGAAACCACAATAGTGGGTCACAAGCGATCTTATTCCAGCGGTGAGATACCTGAAAACGAGTTTGTGGTACAAACTCTGTAAGGCATGCGGAAGAAGCATGGACCGGTACAAACACAATCCGCAAAGTAACCATACAGTTACATTCGTTTTCGAAGACAGCAAGCTTAGTGTGCGGGAAAATTGTGAAAACGAAGTGGTAATGCTTAATCAAGTCAAACTTTACAAATTACTCCAGAGTACACATATTCTGTGCTTGGAATTTTGCCACGTGAAACGCTGCTCATTCTAGTCCATGTGGACAAAAACTCAGGCGAGATGGCCTAAGTGGTGACAGCGCCAATCTACTGACCGGAAGGCCGTGGTTCGAATCCCACCTCTGCCTCTCGACTTTCCATGTCTAGGCTTGAGCGACCTGGAAGTACCCCAGTCCTCGTGCAACGTTTGGGTGGCATGGCAGTTAGGCACCGAAAAGGTGCTACAGCTGAACGATTTTTTTTGGACAAAAACTCAGGTAGGATGTACTTAATACGCGAACGGAGCTTCGTCGGTTACCTTAGTATAACTGAGCAACAGTAAGCGAACTACTGCTGTTGTATAGAGCGAAATGAAGGGTACTGGATTTAAGTGAACCGGGATTCCGTGGTTCAGCGGGTGTTCCACGGGATGACGAACAAGAAACTAATTATGTATAGTTAGTAATTGATTGGTCTCCTTGAATTATGCCACGAGGAAGAATTTCATGCCAGTGGCTACCTGCAGAATGATAAACATCAGTGTTCGCACTAGAGTCGCCATAACTACTCCGCACAAGTTGAAGATACTAACCGTGCAGATATATCATATTCAACAGCAAAGTAGGAGCTAGCCCACGGAAAGTTTGCGCTACTGGTGTGATTCGTCTTCCTATAATTCGCGTAAATCTGTCGGCCAGAAAATTTACAGTTCACGCAGGCTAGGTGACGTCAGTGGTTTGTGGAACACCAATTTCAGATGGTAAGCCGTAGGTGACCCAGAACAACTGCGGTAGGCTTTATCACCTTTTCGCCATGGCAAACTGCATAGTCTTATGATAGTGAGGTATCCGTATCAACAACGACCATCGATCCCAATGCAGACCATCAAAACATCACGTAAAGTCGTTGTTCAAAAAAATGTCCCTATTGCTAGAATTGATTTCAGGTTAGAAGATACTGCCATTCTAAATTTCGGATACGCGAAGCTGAAAACTAAGAAAACCACCTGATCACACAATAGAAGAATGGCAAATTTTTATTGCTACTTGAGTGGGTCGGTTGTATCGAGTGGAGCACAAGGTTGAATGCAATGTATCAATGTAGTTTCGTATCGCTACTTTTCACTCAGAATAACCAAGGAGAGTATGCGTTTCAACATTCATCCGTGTACGGTGTTAAAGTGTGGTCTCTATGCCCAATTATTAACCGGAAGATCGATAAACAATAAAGATATGTAGACCGCACACCTAAATCAGTTTTATCCATAAACTGCGTATTAAAAGGTGAGCGCTGATAGAATGAAGAGGGAATTTTTCGAAAATTCCCACTTGGAATAAGAACGAATTCAATCTCGTTCTCAAGTCAAACGGCTTCAAAGGCTAAGATGGCAATCTTTTAGACAGTGCAATGAGTACAGTGGACACCAAAACGAACGGAAAGACGTCGTTGGCTTTTTGTCATAAAGTATTCAGTTCAAGTCAACAATAAGATCACCTTAGGTTACTTACAGTTCGTCCAGATCGCTACCCATCTCCCCTAAACATAAGTGCGGTGCCGAACACAACCAAAACAGCCTACACTGACAAACTCAGGTTATCCTATTGGTGATTTGAATAAGATGCCTCGTGACAAATAGCCACTGCCGTCTTTCTCCCGTTTTCTGGGTATACTGTGCTCATTCCAAGACATGAAAGATCGAAAGAATTCTGTATACCCCGACTAACTACTCAAAGGCAACTTAAAAATCATAGTACGGCGACTGAGCACGGAGTCGAAATAATCTACAGTACCCTCAGATGCACTTCAGTTTCCACTCGAACCCTGCTATCAAAACATATCTCACATACACACTTCCCAGCCTTACTTCCAGGCTTGTATACATCCATTCGAAAATTCGAGCCAAAAATTAGCTTCACATCACTCTGGTTTGAACAGTGCTCTTCATGTCTTAGCGCAATCGTTCTAGTGAGTCCGTACAAAAGAAGAGAGCACTAGATTCTATTTTCGCTCTAGTTAGAGCCCAGCAACAATGCATATCCTTGGTCGTGCCGGGTTTTGAGCTCCGGACATGTAACATGCGAGGCAAGCGTTGTATCACTATTCCACCAGCGCACGATGGACGCACTTGAATCATCACGTCCCAATAGGCAGTGTTTACACTTGATCTATATGTGCCCGACGCCTCGAAACACGATCAAGTAATTGCCCTGGTTGTGTCAATAGACTGACCAGCCTGTCAGAACTTCCCAGTCAGGTTGCGCCAAAGACACGTGAGACCTGCTGGACAACAGTTCGATTAGTTGTAGGATTTTAGAATCCACATGCACATCACTTCCATTCAGACAGTGCTCCTCCTGTCCTGGTGCGATTATTCTGGCGAATCCGCATGTCAGAAGTCCGGAGTTCAAGCTCCGGTACAGTCAAGGATACCCACTTATGAAGGGCTTTAATAAGGACGAAATCCCAATCCAGTGCTCCCCCTCTAGTATAGACTCCGTAGAATGATTGCACCAGGATAGGGGGACTGTTAAAAAGAGAGTAATGTGAGTATGCGTTCTACGAATGCTGTAACCCCCTACAACTAATCGAACAGAATTTATTGGTTTTCCAATGACACACCTTCCGTAAATAATTGGAAACTGTTCGTGTAGATTACCCAGTGGATAGAACAGATCAAATCCTATGGCAATCAGAATATCTCACTGACTATGAACCAAAACATGAGTACAAAAAGCAAATTTCAAGTGAAATGCTGTTGGAAGAGTTTGCGAATTAACTGCATAAGGTTTTGAATCAGAACATGGCACGAATTGCCAAGCCATCGTGAAAAGTGGGACTGCACAGCTAAAGGGGCCCACCAAATGGCTCGATCATCGCTCTCTATTTACAATACCACCATCCCAAGATCATTTACTATACCACCAAAATGTGAATGCGCAAAGTGCTCCTAAGTGATGAAGACTGGACACAGTAACTCAAAACGTCGACAGTGTGTTTACAGGTACCAGCGGAGAGAAACAGGGCACTTTATTTTACAAGCAGCTGTGACCAAGTACAGAAAACTTACTTTAGCACATTCAAGGATGTCATATAGAGCCAAGTAGGATAAAATTCGAAGCGACAATTCAACGGGCAAAATTTCCGTGAAGTCCCGGGTCAGAACAAGTTCCCTTTGAATGTCACATTCGTCGTCAATATCGGCCATGGGATCTTGTTTGGGTAACGACAATACGCCCATACTACTCCGTTCAGAGGGCAGATTGGGTAGTTTTTCCCCAATTGCGGGGAGTGAATATCCCTCACAATCAGCCGTGTTAAGACGCGGGCGTTTAGCCTGCGACGGAACAGACGCTTGTGCATGATGGCTCTGAATATCGTCCACCACCGAACTGAAGAATAAGAAAAATAAGTACACGACTTACCATTGATGCCGCTGTCCCGAAGGGATGTTATAGATAGTTTGTGTTTGGTTGGTGGGATCCGACTCGCAAATATCGCTATACAGACAAAAGATAAAATGGACGGGGACCACTCACTTCATTACAGACTATGTCTTCGGAGGCAATTCACAGAGGAATACACCAGAAAAACAATTCCAAGCATGTTCGCAGGGCGATAAGGTTAAAGGGCTGAAAAAATCAAATCAATTCCATCATCACTGACAGCACCAGCAGTATGTGAATGTTTGTGCTCCGGAATGAGTAGAACTGGCGTAACTGACAGGAAAACACTGCAAACGATCAGCCTACGAAACTGACATCATGAGGACTCTTCAACGGCGTTTGGAGATGGAACCCCTTGACTTTTTAGTTACCTTGAAATCACCGTCATCACCAACATCCCCATGAGAACGTTGCGTAGCTATCATGGAGGGATAGAAAGAGAATTCCCTGCACCGTTTCCCGTACGATACACAGTTGCATGCAATGCAACTATTCTGTTGTTAAATGTGCACGCTCTCTTTTTATCAAAACTTGGGTACGATGGGCTAATTTCTGTTCGTAACACGGCAGGACGAATCGCCTTGAGAATTTCGTGAGTATCCACATGGTTGCATCAGAGGGAGTCTGTCATGATTATGTAAACCATACTTTTCATTTATCATTAACTGGTAATTTTCACTCTACGATTTCAGCTCATTTACTACCGTTATGAGACGATTACGGTGTACATTACGCCCTTCTATTTTGTCTTCCCACTAATCTCGACCTGGAACCATTCAACTCTCGCAACAATTTAGTCGTCTAATAAAAAATGGATCATACTCCCTTATTCGTGGTGCTCAATGCTGATCCTCAATCACCAGATGACAGGGAACGATGGACTCACTGGTTTCGTACCTTCAAAACTCACATCAACTCAGTCAAGCCTGAAGGTCCAAATAAACTGGAAACTTTCATACATCACATTGACCATACAGTGTATGAATCCATTTCAGGATGTAGCGACTACGATTCTGCGATAACCTTGCTGGAAAAACGTTTATATTCGCCCGAAAAATGTCGTGTATGCACGCCATCTTTTAGCTGCATACAAACAAGAACCTGATGAAGATAGTGGCCAGTTCGTTCAAAGACTGAAGTCATCTTCTAAGGACTGTGAAGTAAAAGCAATATCTGATGTGGAACATACAAACGAAGCAATCCGGGATGGCGAGATAACCGGACTGCAGTCGAACACCATTTAGAAGGAACTGCTAACGTCAAATGAATTGGACCTTGACGTATACAAACAATCCGTTACTTGTTCTGCGTCCACCCCTGCGTCCCCTTTGTTAATCCCGAAACAACATTTACCACTGCTGCACAAAAACAAGTTGCTTTTGTGGGAACCCCAAGCAACCTTGTTACAAGTGTTTCGCTAAAGAATCAGTTCGCAAAATTTGTGGGAAAAGAAGACATTTTCAAAGTGTCTGTGGGTTCAAAACTTCGAAATATCACATGTGTGCAGCTCAATACTCCTCAATCTCTTCGTTTCCAATAGCGTATCTAAAACTACAACAGATCTTCTGGTCAACGGCATTGCTGTCCCAGCTCTTACTGACACCGGCAGCTCCAGAAGTTTCATTTTTTCACTAGTCCAGCAAACCTGGAAACTATTTCCATACGAATTTGTGATAACAATAGCGTCGACGACACATTCATGTTCCGTCAAAGGTCATTGCTTGTATTCATTCAGTACAAAGATGCTACAAACACCGGTTCACACTTTGTGTATTGCCTAACCTTTGTGCAGACAACCGTCTCGGACACAACTTGGGGTTACATGATAAAGTTGAAATCCCATTCGGTGGCAAATGCGGCATCCTATGTGGCGTAACAACCGCGAAACTGGAATTCCCATATTTGTTCACTAAGCTCGCTGGAAACTGCAAACCGATCACAACGAAATATTCTCGACATACACAGGAAGACGAACAGGCCATACTAACGGAAGTAGACCGAATGCTCGCCGATGGCATAATCAAGGCATCAAATTCCCCATGGAAAGCGCAAGTGCTCGTAATGCGTACGAAACACAAGGGATGCATGGTCATAGACTACAGCCAGACCATCAATCGCTTTACCTACCTTGACGCTTACCCTTCACCAAGACTTGATCAAACGAATGGAACCATCGCACTCTATACCGTCTACAGCACACTGGACCTCCAAGGTGCATATCATCAGGTTCCAATAAGAAAAGAAAGAAAGCGTTCAGCTGTAGCACCCTTCTGGTGCCTAGCTGCCATGCCACCCGAAGGAAGCACGAGGGCTGGGATACTGTCAGACTGCCCAAGCCTAGACAGGGGAAGTCGAGTGGCGGGGGTCGGATTCGAACCACGGACCTTCCGGTCAGTAAATTCGCGCTCTAACCACTTGGGCCATCTCGGCCCCAATAATCTAGTCAGGTGAACTGTTTACTGCATTCGAAGCCCGCGGGAACCTATACCAGTTTTGGCACATTCCCTTTGGAGTAACGAATGGATTGTGTGTTTCCAACGAACATTAAACAAGATTACCAAAGCCGAACAGGTTACTGTATGCGGCAAAATGAGAAATGAACATGACCATAATCATAGGTATTTTCTTGATGTCCTTAAAATATATATTGCTTTGAACGACACAAAAAGCAGCTTCGCAATTGAAGGGCTTACTCTTCTGGGTTACAAGGTCTCCAAATGTATTATCAAACCTGACCCAAAACGCATGCACGATACAAGAGACCACCCAATTCTACAGAACGCAAAATCAGAACGAAGAGCCGTAGGTCTGTTCACCTGCTGCTCCCAATGGATAACGGCGTTTCCTGATAATAAAAAAAACGAAATAGTTCCGCTTCCGGAGTGTCCGAACGGCACTTGGAAACCTTAAGCAAGGATTGGAGAATGCGATTGCCGTTACTGTCGGCTACAGCATCCTTCTTTTCGTCAAAACTGATGAGCCCAACATCGCATTTGGTTCATCCCTGAGCGACGGTAACCGACCGGTCACCATTTTCTCCAAGACCTGCTGTCGAAAACAAAGTATGTACTATCGTCGAAACGATCTGCAAATGGCATCACCATCTCCTCGGAAGACACTACAAAATGAACACGGATCAACGTACAGAAGAAAGGTAAAATAATGACAAGAGTGAACGGTAAAAAAACCGGATTGACGGGAGACAACCAGAACGTCGTCTATAGACCAGGAACAGAAAACCGCCTTGCTGATGCCTGATCTCGTAACCTTTGTGCTAACATCTTTGAGACAGAAGAATTTCAAGAGCTTCACAACATACTATGCCATCCAGGAGTCACAAGACTTGCGCATTTTTTTCGTTCTAAGAACCTTCCTTTTTCATTAGGCGATATCCAACTTGAGATCCCTAAATGTCCCACATGCTCTTACCTGAAACAAAAATCTTGTCTTTTTCGTAGTCAGCTTACCAAAGCCACAAAACCTTTTGGACGCCTTGGTAATCACTTCATTCCACTTCACTCAGACACTCGTAACAAGTACCTCTTAACACTCATCAACGAGTAATCCCGGCCCCCATTTGCTTATGTCCCCTTCCATGGTGATTCGTTGTGGGTTAACTCTTTTTCCTTTATGGCATGCCCGCCTACATTCACTCAGATTGCCGTTCTGTCAACTGAACCCAAAGTTTTTGTTCTACAAAGACGTCGTCACTTGTCACATCGCTGCACACAATTCACAATGTAACGGTCAAGTGAAACGGCTTAATGCTACCCTATGGAAGACCATCCGTCCAATTCTAAAACCAACGAAACTTGCCTCATACACGTTGGGAAATCGCCTTTCTTGATGCTCTCCACTGTATCTGTTGTGTACCAGTACCAACTATACCCCCACATGAACTTTTCCTGCCGTTCACACGAAGATCAGCCAGTGGTGTATCCTTGCCTACCTGGCTTACTGTCCCTGAACCTATCCTTTTAAAGCGAAAGGATCGAGCCTTTAAATATGACCCTCTGGTACAGGAAGCAGAGCTAGTCTCTTGCAATCCACAGTACGCCCACATAGCTCATCCCGATGGCAAACACGAAACCGTATCCTAACGCCACTTGGGTCCTAAAGTCAATGACCTGCCATCCAACACGTTCAACACAGAACTAGAACCCGAACATACTGCCGAACAAGAGGAACCTCAGCCAACACCATCATCTACGGTGATTGTTTAGAAACTGAAATTTTGCCCATTAACGATGCCTCATCCTCCCATTCTACTGCAGACCCAGAAAACCACATGAATCCCTATACAACAACACCACACTCGACTTGGAACCATTCGACTCTTTTAGCGGAATCGCTACGGGGGACGTCGTTATACAAGAACAAAAATAATTTCGTCATTGGGAGATGCATCCTTATCTTTGTGAACATCATGCCCCGAAAATCCACTGTACGATTACTGGCACCATACAGTACAGGAACTAATGCCGCTAGCTTATACATCATCTTTCACGGCACAACACCACTGTTTGACATTGATGTTTCTCTGCCACACAAGAGACAAGGAATATAGTGCTAGCCTACCACAATCAATGTGGGTTACCTGCATATTCAAACACCCATTTAAATGGTTTGGACTGAAACAGACAACAACGACAACGACATCGATTACTAGACACACCTTGCAGTGTCCCTAATCATGCAGGAGACCATGCGGGCACCATCCCAAAAGGCGGGTTGAACCGGAAGTACCCAGGCTTTTGATGATTGCTTTGATATTTGTTTGCCAGGTCAAAGATTGATCACCTCCCTACTCGCGCCACTGCGAACTGATCACGGAAAACAGCAATCTTCGGCAAATAATGATTTGGTATGCACAATACATGATGTGACCACCGCAACTCTTGGTACTGGATATATTCTTCGCTTTGAACAACCGAGGTGGCTCAAGT